GGAGGGGCTACGCTTTGATGACAATAATAATCACGTTGATTATCAGTGGTACCTCATTTCAAAACGAGGTGGTGACAACTATTCACCTAGTCAGTAGGATTTCATCATCTTTTTTTTTTTTTGCGTCTACCGCAGTCGCTAACACTGTTTTTTTTTATTATATCGTCACTTCCCTATTTTACGGTCACTTTTCCAGCTGCTTTTCTTCACATTCAAGAGTTGTACTTTCTGAAGAACAGGCTTAGCTTTCTACTTACTTTTTTTTCTTTTATATTTAGCCCATTGTTTTGTCGTTGTGCTACCATGCATTCCAAGCTTACTTTTCAACCAACAAATAAATTTCACAGTAGCGCCGAAACATTTGCATTATAATCGAACTTGAATGAATGAAGCAGCGTGATCCTGTCCGACGGAAGGACTTCCTGGTTGATGCGTCACGGCAATGCAGGAAGTGGCCATCTTGGCGGCAGCGGGCTGTGACCACCGCGCACCGATTCAGCGGCTGTCGCGCTTCACCGGAGCAAGCGAAGCGCCGCCGGAGAGCAGCGACCACTGCGGATCAGCGCCGCACAAGCGATCCGATGATCGGAAAGGACGCACGAGCTGGACTTCTGCTTCGACGACGCTCGTTTTAACACGTGCCCCCGGTGAGTGAATAGCATTCCCGTCTTGACGGGTGTGAGCTCCAGACCAAAAATGCAATGCCGTGCAAGGGCAATAACTGTCTGTAAGGTTTTATATGTAACACGTGGGAATTATTAAAATAAGGCATGTTAGCTTACTATACGACTCATCCCAGTACATAGAGTAGGGTGGGGTGAATTGCGACAAAAAATTTTGAAATAGTAAATATTTATTATTTCACTACTTACAGTTAAACATCAATGCAGAAACTTTCTTTTAGGTATGTGCTAGATAAATATTGTCATGTTGCCACCATTCAAAACAGTGTTTTAAAAATAAACAAAATGCTCCGGATGCCTCATTTTGCCTCAACTTGTGGGGCGAAACGAGACTGTGAAAAAAAATTAATTCCTGCAGTTTTTTGCAGTAAAAATACTTGAAAATCACTCTGTGGGTCCTTACACATTTTCAAGGAGCCCAGTCGTTGGACTCCACGCATTGAATCTAGACAGAACGCGGTGTTGTGTTGCTCGAAAACTCCTTGCAGATCAAACACCGCCAGTCTTTATTTGTGCTAATGTTGTGTTTTGTTGAACGCTTGCACCGCATTGGAACAACTGGAGGCCAGAGATGTTTTCACGTATCTTATTCACCTTGCCGTTTTGATGCAGAACTGCTAAGACGTTTCATGGTGTTTAACCTCGTCCATCAAGCTTTGTGAGGCAATGAATATAAAACTGTGCAAGATTCAGATTTTCTAGCGCTTGTTTTTTTTTAGTTAGGGTATCGGAGAAACCTCGTGAAAACTCATTACGAAAACTTGTTTGTGAACGACTTCACTTGGAGATTCTGCCATTTTTTATGCGCCTCTTGAGGGCATCCTTGGAAGCACAAAAAAAAAAAAAAACTCGATGCCGCGCGAATGGAGGGATTCATATCCCGAATGGCAATCACTGCTTTTTCATGTCGCTTTGCCCTCAGTAAGCTCTATGTGATATTCTCTTGTATGTCCAAACCCTCCTAAACAAATAAATTTAATAGATAATAAGTGTAAGCTAATGGTTCTATTAATGAGACACTTCCTAAGGCAATTCAATTCCTTTTTTTGTCGCGTTTTGCCCCTCTCATATGCCAGAACTCACGAAAATTCCCGCTTTGTCCCCGGACACCAAACGAACTAAACTTTTCATGTGTAGCTCGTAGACTGAAGTAACAAAATAAACATTTGCGTTGCTGTGCTGATGCAGGAGTAGCTTCATGCATAGATCCGAAAATTTGGCCGAGAAGAATTTCGCCCCTTTTTGACGGGTCACGGACACACATCAGCCACGTAGTTTTTCTCGCGTGAATGCTGTGAACAATCATCAACTTTTACACACGAAAAAGTAGACAAATACCATCCCTTATCGCTGGAAAATATAAACAAAGAAAAGTAATTATTACATTGGCGACAAAGGCCAGCAAAGTCAAGATGTCACGTTTTGACTCCGTGTCTCGCTTTACCGCACCCGACCCATACGTATTGTACAATAACAATAGTGGTGGTGAAATGGTAATCACTGATTAATACTGCGGCGGTGCGAAAGGTGGCACAGACGAATACAATATATACACACACACACACACACATATATATATATATATATATATATATATATATATATATATATATATATATCTATATATATATATATATATATATATATATATATATATATATATATATATATATATATATATATATATATATATATATATATATATATATATATATATATATCCCGCTGTAACCCTCCCTCTTAGCCACTCACACGTTGCACACGGCTCACCGTGTCATATATATATATATATATATATATATATATATATATATATATATATGTCCTAAAATACAACAATTATTGATATTGTTAATTAGTTCAATGTCATTCTAACTGTGGCACAGTATGTTTGCCTCAGCGTAGAGTTCTTCGTGAGAGGAAGACAGGGACCTGACTTATAAGATTTTTGCAAAAAAATAAAAAAAAACTTTATTGTCTAAAAAATAAGCCCGGTATTCATGTGTACGTACGTCCATATGAGGACTGGATGGTACTTTTTAAGGCGATTCCCTGCAGCAATAATTAGGCTCGCAGCTGCTGTGTCCTCCTTGTAACATAGTGTTTGTGTGCAGTGTATCATGTTGTATCCTGTTGATCCACTCTCTTGGTCGAGGACATTTCTATTTCGTCGTTGACCATAAAATCGTTATCTCGAGAAGTCAAATGGTCACTAAGTGCGTTAACTGGCGTGCTACTTTTGCGGTCCGGATTTTAGCACAAAGCGACATATATGTATAGCCAGTGGTACGTCACGTTGCAAACCAAACTTGCTCAGGAATCATTAGGAAATGGTGAAAAACAACCATTATGCCTCAGCGTTGGCGCACATTTACCTGCGCATTATGCGTTGCGCTTTCACCCAACGACGCGTTTCCGCGTCTTCGGTAAAGAGCGCAAGTGTCTTCGGTTGGTGTGCAAATTTCGGGGATGATCTGATTTGATTTCGTGGGTGATCAAAGTTGTGGGATGTATTTAAACCTAGTTTTGAAACACGAATTGCTTTAAATTGTTTTATTTGCCTTACACAAATTCCGAAGAGCCATTGCACATGGTAGATGGCAGCCATTTGCAACGTTTTGTCGACAGCTAGTACTTGAAGCATATGTGCGTGCCATAGCCAATATATGGTGTAGAAATTGCACAGCTACTCCTCAAGAAATCATCTGGGAAGGATGTTTCAACGTGAAACCTGGGGAAGAGGCGATGCGTGGAACGCTTTGAGAGAAATTTCTTTATGAGTCACCATATAGTTTCTTCTGCTTCCATGCGTGACTGGTTTCAGTTCCCCAGCGGCATGTGGGGAAGGGATATTTTCACTCCGCTAACGTCGTCGGTGGTATGTTAGGCTTTACTGCTGCATGCCTTCTTTTTAGTAGTGGGATTTACTCGTGGTGGTCGATGCATGCCCAATTTTATGATGAACCGTGACCACATGACACACCGGGACGACAGCAGGCGCTCCTACAGAAAGCCGCAATGTCTCGATTGTGAAACGGGGATGTCGGGGGGATGCAATCTCTCCACTTACATTCACTGGCTGTCTAAATGAGGTATTAGAACAACTAGATTGGGAAGAAATCAGAATGAAGGTTAACGAAGATCTTACCAACTGGCGTTTTGCAGACGACATCGCACTGTTCAGCAATGACGGCGACGAATGACAGAAAATGACGGAAGAATTAAACAGAAAAAGCACTCTCAACTCCTGATCTGTATCTTATCACTCAAGCGGAAACCGTAGTACCATCGTATTTTGCCAGCTCTGGCATATGGGGCAGAAACCTGAAAAATAAACAAATGAAGCCCAATGAAATGCAATGTGATTGATAAGCGTACGGTAACGCAGAGGTGGAAAGACAGCAGGGTGGATCTATCTATCTATCTATCTATCTATCTATCTATCTATCTATCTATCTATCTATCTATCTATCTATCTATCTATCTATCTATCTATCTATCTATCTATCTATCTATCTATCTATCTATCTCCGTATTGGTATCAATACGAAAATTGGTATGACATAACATGGCCACATGACGAGCATAAGTGACGAGTCATAACATGAAATACATGAAACGTATGTCATGAATGTCATGATTTACATTTCATAGTCTTGCTGCTCTTGTGGTGGTTTTGTTCACCTGACACGTTGGAAAACTGGTATGGTATGACATGACTGCATGGCGAACACAAGTGACAGACCCTAACGTGGAAATCATGATCTGCGTGTCATGTACGTCATGACTACACGCCACGCTCACGGTGCGCTCGGGGTCATTTCACTAGCTTCACATATACCAAATTTGCTATTACGTGACGTGAATGGATGACGAAGGTCTATGACTGGTGCAAGCATGATAATCATGAGATGCGTGTCATATAACAGCATGACTACATGATACGCTCATGATGCGCTCGCGGCCGTTGTTAAAAACAGTGGACATAGGGCGCAGGGGAAGAAGAGAAAGAGGAGGGATGCGCGTGGCACGTGGAGTGGTTCTTGGATCTGCGCCGCAATAAACGGACGTCGAGACGCTCCGCTCTTCATCTCCAGGCGTATTAGTCCTTTGAAACCAGTTTTCTACGAAAGAAGTCTTCGGATTTTACAGCTGTTTCACTAGCTTCACATATACCGAATTTGGTATTACGAGACGCGAACGGACGAAGAAGGTAAACGACACGTCCAAACATGCTAATCATGACAGGCGTGCCATGTAAAACATGACTATATGCTATACTTATGGTGTGCCCGCGGTCGTTTTGCTAGCTCCGGACATACCAAATTTGGTGTCACGTGGCGTTAATTAATGACGAAAGTAAATGACACGCTCAAGTATAAAAATCATAACATGGAAGTAATGTACGGCTTAGTTTACCTCCGCCTCGTAACGTTGTGCCGATTTTCAAGTGACATATCAACCTTCCTCATTCGTGCTTCGCAGATGATCCATTCCCACTGTACGTGAGATCTGCCAATTTTTTTTCTTCCAATTTTTTATTTTTCTCTCTTTGTATTTCGCACTTGCTTCTTTTTTTTGTATACGTGGTTTTGCCTGCGTTGCGCCAAGCGCAGGATTTTGTTTGTGCGTATGTGTGATGGTGATGAGCGATTATCATCAAGGTGCTCGAAGAACAAAAGAAAGAATATTTCTCCTTGGCGCGAGCACGCACTCAATGTGCTACACATGGAGCGTTACGCCTACCAACGGCTATCACATATTGCAGCATGTGATAGCCTGGCCCCATTAAATAGCTCTGCAATTTAAAAAAAGCAATCGTTGGTAAACTTGAACTTATGTGTACTATAAATACCCCAAGATGGTCAAAAGTAATCCGAAGAGTCTCCCACTACACGGTCACTATTGTGACGGGTTTCAACAGCGGAGCAGTTCAAGGGTGGCAAAACTACCGTTGGCGTCACGCACAAAGCTGGGCGGGTGTATGTCGCGTGCGCCATAGAAAGCGGGTATGTCCAAAGAAGTTCCTATTGTACATCATAGTGATGCGTAGTATATTATAGCTAAGCGGTGGGGAAAATAATTGAAGGTTAATTGGAGTGGTGTGAAGGTGATGATGAAAGAAACGAGGGGAGAGTCTAAAACAGGGTTCTCAAGCAGGTCGGTTGCAGGGAACCCTGCTAAGCTCCATTAAGTGCCAACCCCCCACCCTCTGCAGCCGCTTTTTTTGAAGCATGTTTCATTCGGCTCACGCCTCATTCATGCGCTATAAGTTCAAACGCAAGGGTTATGAGAAATGTGTTCACTGTCATGCAACTGAACTCACTTTCCTTGCACCAGCGAGAGCCCGTTTTCAGAGCCTGGTTGGCTATGAGCAGCTGGCGGAATTCATTGCACAGTTCGCGCGTTTCTGTTACGCACTGAGATGTGCTTGCTGATACTCGGGCGTGAGTAATAGAGGTTCTTTAGAACTACCGCGTCTAGGTTTTTCACCGTCTACGTGACTTGGCGAGTGAAGAGCCGGGGAAAATTTATCAGCGTAGCCTTGTGTATACAGCGAGTGCATGACAAAGGCAAGTGCGAGCGAAGGGAACTGATGATACGGCACGGAAGAAGACAAGGGGGAGAGCATGGCATAGCCATGTGTAATATAGATACAGCGAGGTGGTTGGAAAGGGAAGCGGGCCTCGTCGCGGTGTTCTAGTGGCTAAGGTATTCGGCTGCTGACCCGTAGGAAGCGGGATTGAAGCGGCTGTATTGCCAATGGAGGCAGAAATGTTGTAGGCCCCTGTGCTCAGATTTGGGTGCACGTTAAATAATACCAGGTGGTCGCAATTTTCAGAGCCCTCCACTACGGCGTCTCTCATAATCATATGGTGGTTTTGGGACGTTAAACCCCACATTGAATCAAATCGAGGGAAGCGAGGATGAGGAGGAAAATAGGGCCACCAGCTCCGCTGTTTCTTCTGTATTCTATTGCGTATCTGCCCCGGTATTTTCGGCGTGTAAACCCTCATTAGTAAGTCTCAGCATATTTCAGCCAGCACGTCACAGGGGTACGGACACGAGAATTTGCAGCTGTCGTTTTTTCGTGTCGAATGAGAGGTCGAACCCTGCAGAGCCTAAAGGAAAAATACTGGTAAGCGTGAATGCTCTCTCAAAATTTAATTGCTTGTTTTAAAGGCTATATAGTTTAGGTTCGCACTGTACCCTGACGTGACGACATGGCATGAGCTTCCCGCTACGTGCTCGAGCAAAATATCGCAACGTTTCCTCGGCCGTTCTTGACTCCGCTATAACTATACTTACTGTGTGATGGTGGCGCACAGGAGGCTATTTTGTAAGTTTTTGGTGCCTGACGTCATCACAAATTGTCCTAATGATGTGTTAAGTCACTAGAGTATACGCTAGCGTCGATGTCAGTAGCTGCGCCATACGAAAATCGGCTTTAACGTCATAACAAAATGTCAGAGTTTCTTTGGCTTCACGCTTGTTCACAGCAAAGGCTCTCGCATAATCTAATTCAAGTCCCCTAGGACAGTTCATCTGCCGACAGCCAATATAGGTACATACGTCCGACAAGAAACCTTGCACTAACACCCTGAGGAAAAGGCACCGTGAAGTAGGCCAGAAGATGAAAGTCTCTACAAACCGCACCTGAGGCAATAAATTAGCCGCTCTGATCCGGCAACGTCAACTCTGAAGCCACACCTATGCGCGTCATGAGAGGCCGCAGTCGCAGATAACGCGCAACCTCCTGTACCTGTATATGACCAGGCAGGACGCGTACATACATAAAGTTCCTCAGAGCACGTCAGAACAGCCATGAACCACGCAACCTTGTTTCTTATATACATTTGTAAGAATGAATTGGTAGTCGATAAGGAGACAAGTGTGACATTATAGCGTCCTTCATGGTTTAACTGCCCAGCGTTTCCAGTAAAGAACGCAGTTAACGGGAATGATTTTTTTCTTTCATGGTCTTAGTGGTTGATGACGTTAATCCTTCGTCTCATAAATTTGCGAACGTGCATCAATTTGCATGCAATTTTGAGTCAGTACTTTTTTAAACAGAACTCGCATGATCATATAACAGCTCAACACTATATATATGCATGAGCACACATGCGCCTGCAATTTGCCGTTTCAACTTTTTCAGGTACTTGGTGCAAGGGTAGAAACATAATAACGAGCTTAGGCCAAGCAGACTGGACGTCTACTCGTCCTGAAAACCTCACCGCAAGCCCGAGGGAGGAAGTTGCTTCGCTCAATCGTACCGATGCACACAAGGCTGGTGCTCAACTGTCCTGTGGTGTTTCCAACAACACAGCTGGCTCATCTCTTCACATAAGTCAATTGGTTGTAGATTCCCCGTCTACCACAGCCATTCAGGAGAGAGCGAATTCTATCACGGCAACCCTCTCATCGGGTGAATGGTCACCAGCGAAGAACGAACCTGGAACGTCACACCCGGCCTCAAGCCACGCTAGCGGCACGTCGTCGCATGACACAGGCGAGCAGTACAGCCTCCCGGAGAATCCACCAAGGATCAGCGCAGCGCTAAGTGCGAACGTCTCGACAACCACCTCCAGCCTCAGAACGCACTCGGTGGCTGCCTCGGAAGTAACTCAATGTGCTGAAGACGTGACTGTCCAGTCAGTGTCCCCAAGTATGACCCTGTCCCGCTCAAGCGAAGTCCTCAATTACACAAACACAACGTCTACAAAGTTTCCGAATGTGCCCATGGCCGGGCATGAAGCCAGCCTGGAGAACAGCTCAACTTCACTCATGTCCAACGAATTTGGAACGAGTAAGACTGACTCCCTCACCAGTAATGTACTTGCATCGACGAAAGACGCAGCAACGTCTACCTCTGCTGATGCTCCTCGAACCCGCAGAAACAAGGGAGCTATATTCGCCACTGTCATCGGTGCCACTGTGCTGCTCATGGGCATCATTGTCATGGGATTATGGTTCTACAATGTTCGGTAAGCTCGGTTACGTCATCTCCAAAACACACGTGGTTGAGCTTTGAAATCTGTACTAATGCTGTCCTTGAAGTCATATTTTCACACCAACTTATGTTCTTTATGCATTCATACAGCTTAGTTAAACCATTGGATACACGTCTCGTAATGTAAATAATAAATTTTTGAACATTACTCCCCAAACTCGTTTTTTGGTAATTGTTTTTTTTAACTTTTTTATAAAAAAGAAGCGGGATGAAGCAAGTTGTGTATGGGTCATTCCACGCCACTGTCCCAGCCTCCCAAAACTCACTTTGCATAAGAACATAAGAAAATCACACATGTCTAGGCGTTAGTAGAGGCACACAGAGAAAACAAAAAAAATACAAAGTAATCTGTTTTATGGAGAGTTAGACAAAATTAATTGATGAATTTTATCGATAATCGTCTTTTGTAGAAAAAATTCTGAATAGCCTATATACAATTTACTCCATTTCACTTAGGCTCTGAGGAACGAAAAACAGACAGCTGCCACAAACAGTGAAAACACGATGCTCGAAAAACGCAAAAATGAAATGTTGAAAGAATTGGCCAAACGGTCAATTTATAGGGAATTTCCTTTTCGTACCTTGTTCTCCACTGTTTCGTGAATTTCAACTGGTGGTCGCGTGAGCAAAAATTTTGCTGCTCAATCTATATTGAGAAAATACCCTACAACTGATGCATATATAGACGTGTAACTTTCTCAGCTCTTTTCAGAGAAAACGATGTTTGGCCAGCACCCCGGTTGGGACAGTTGACGTGGAATTACTCATATGCGTCCCACAAATTATCTTATATATGTCGTGACTGAAGAAAACGAAGAATTGTAAAAGCAATGGCAGTTGCACGGAACTCAAGACTGTCGCGTTTGAGATGTGTTGTTACTGAACCGAGTATTCTCAGTTTGTGTGCAGAAAAGGGGCGTTCAGCATTTGCAGGAGTTGATGGCACATATATACGGTTCTGAAAGTAGCAGTAGCAATGATCCTGTAAGTGCTCTCCGAAATTGCAGAATTTATGTTCGCAGGTCTTTGACAGTCATTTCAGTGCTGAAGAGTGGCCATTTTTGCCTCAGACAGATCGAATTTTCGAACTATACAAGCAGCATGCTCGTTTGGAATTGTGGAGAATCCTTCCTGGGGATTCTCCAAAGGGCTACTGACGCCAAAATTTTCTGTTGTAGTTTTTTTGCGTGAACAGAAAGGCCAAGAATTCGAGAGCCATAGACATTGGTAAGCGTGAGTGCACCCTATAAAAGTAATTGCGATGTGTTTTTAAAATCCAGTTTAGGTTCTTACTGCACCTTGATGTCACAACACAGCATATTATTCTCGTCACATGCTCGGGCAAGATGACGGGATGAACTGCAGTTCCATGCCGTGGCTTCATTGGTGACATACACACTGCCATTTTGAATGCCTTGGTGACGCTATAGCGGCCATATTGAAAGCTTTGGTGCTTGACGTCATCAAAAGACTGCTGCATGAAGTCACCAGAATGAGTAACGTAGCTTAACGTCAAGCTGGGGCCGATATCAGTAGGTGTGTCATGTGAAAAATTGCTTTAATATAAAAAACATCACAGCTTAAACACGGAGTAAATGATGATGAGTGGGTTTGAAGCGTCCATCCATCCGTCCGTCCATCCATTAATGCGCCCGTCCTTTCGTGCGTGTATCCATCTGGCCTTGCGTCCGTGCGTCCGTCTTTCTGTATGTATGTATGTATGTATGTATGTATGTATGTATGTATGTATGTATGTATGTATGTATGTATGTATGTATGTATGTATGTCTGGCGACGAGCACGAGCAGGCGTGGCCCTCCGCGAACGCTGCTCTGCTTCGTACATACATCACCAACCATCCGACACGTGCGGTGACCATCCTGGAAATTGAGAGAGGCACTCGTTTCCCGCGCATCCAGGCACATCCCGCACAGCAGCCAGTCGGAGAGTAACGGTACAACGCCATCTAGAATATCCTCACTCAACTGCAGTTTGTATGTACTTCTATGAGACAGCACCATCTATTATACTGTTCGGGAGATACTGCTGGTTGTGCTTCACTCGGGACAACGTTAGACGAAGAGGAGCTTCGTCCCTTAAAGATGAAATATATTATAATAATATGAGCATTTGCTCAGCTTCATACTTGCTCAGAGCCATCTCTGCGTACAGTATATTTCTATGGCACACCACCGAAAAATGTAGTCAGTACGTCGATCTTCGGAACCTCCCTTTCGTAGAGAGACCTAGAATTCTACCTTCCACTGCCGCGTCACTCTGGACCTCTTCAAAATGGGCACCGCCATATTACCTAGAAGGCGGTGCCAGCCGTGCCTGGTCTGGCAATCCACTGGAGCGTGCGAAGCACTGCGTTTCCATGGAATGTATTCATACGGTTTCAATTTCTGCGAATTCATTTTCTTATGGGGCGCTGAATTTTGTCTTAAATGATGTAGTATAAATAGGCAATGAGTCTGTGAGACGTCCTGAAACGTTTTGATCTGCTCGGTGTCAAATGTGATAATATGCGACGGGGCAAAGGTGTCGCAAGTGGTTGGTGTCGTATGTTTTCGGCACTTTTCTGTTGGCAAAACATAAGAATATTTCGACCCATTCCAGCAGGGCAAGTAAGTGGTGGCACTCTTTGAGGGTATAATGGATTTTTTCTTGGGCTATATTATCAGGTTTGTTTTTGCACTCCTGTTTTTTTTTTTATGCTGTCACAGCGACTACCACCCGTACATGCGATCGTGCGTGAGCATGCCATGGCGATTTCGTGGCGCTGGCGGCATTTGCTTGTTGCTCACAAGCTGCGGTCTATCTGTTCTTCCAATTTTATTACACCTTATTACTCGATCGTTAACTGCGCCTGGGTGCGGACAAAATTAGTACTTGTCACAGAGAGCTGCTGGCACACCAAAATCTATGCTTATATTTACATGCCAGCACGCTTCTTTTTTTTTTCTTTTTTTAGAGTCGTGATATTTGAATGGATTACGGTGGCGGTATAGTGAAAACAGTTAGTTTCTTCTGCCGATGAGGAACCACCCCACCCGGGTTTGGGCCTCTGATCGGCATAATAGCCGTTTTTGTGTTTATTTTTTTAATAACCATGTCTACTAGTTGTATAACTTTCGCGAAATATTGGTTGTAGTTCACAAAGCTAAGCAGCGAAATTGACAGTTAAAGAAACGCTGAACCGCCGATGCCAACTATCGCCACAGAAAAATGCGCAGCGGTGGCGTTTACACGCAAACCAACGTCTTTCTACCCAATGTGCGTCGATGACCAATGAATTGTGTATAAGAGCAGTCATAGATTTTTAGACGTCATCATTGTGACATAAAATAACCTAAAGTCCACGTGTAGCATACCTTAAAGAGATCCTGCAACACTTTTTGAACATGGTCAGAAATCACTGCCAATTGGTAGCAGGGGCTTCTGAGAACACGCGAGCTAAATATTATAGCACAGCACGTGGCCTGTAATTCACAATAAGTTATCAAAGTCTGCTAAAATTGCTTTCTCTTCTCTCGAAAAATGACGGAAGACACTAAAAAATCACTCGTAGAAGGCCATCTATCACACATTGGCTGATTTGAACATGGTGCGCTTGGTCGTTACAGAGATCACCACGGGAGGCCACGGCTTGTCCACGCGAGCGTGCACGCGCGATCACACTGAAAAAGCCGCATATTCGAGAAAAAAAAAACAATGCTCAAGATCACGAGGCGCGCGTGACCTATTTTATTTGACCCTGCTGTCCCTCTCCGCTAAGCTACCAGCGCTTTCGGGGGGATGAGAGAGAGAGAGATGCGATTGCAGCGTGCGACAAATCTTTTGTAACTCCGCTCGCACTGGACGGACTCTTAAAGTTTTTGCGGCGTTAAATTTGTCAACTAATAAATTCATTTAGTGAAGCCAATCCATGGTTAATTGAAAAAGTGGTCCAGGGCCCCTTTAAGAAAATCTCTTTGGCATTGAGAATGTATTTAAGTTCGTTGCCGGAAAATCATGGGGCCCCTCCGTGCACTCAGTGCTACAGCTTTATACAGCCGTATTTCTCGGACTGCTGCGGTACAGCCTTCTTGCCCTATCCACCACGTGCAAGACTAACATCCGTTCACTACAGAGCGTACAAGCACAAGCACTTCGGACATGTCTTGGCCTTCCGAGATGTTCATCGACAGTTGCAACTATCGCTATCGCTCAAGAACAGCCGGCCACAACGTATATCATTGTCGAGACACTAAGATCACACATTCGGCATTTATCGTGGCTTCCGTCACATCATTTAGCGAGTTTGAAATGGCGCAGGCCCCATGCTTTGTTCTGTGGGTTTGTGACGAAACACCAGGACATATTACCACCAGGCGATGCGCCCTGCGATGCGTGTGGCATCTGCGTTGTGCAGTCTTCATCAGGCTAATGTGCGCTTATCGGTTCCTGGAATCGTTAGGAAGACACGCATGTCACCGCGCTAGCCCTGAAGCAATTGACTTTGCGTCTGTTGGATAAAGCACACTTTTATTAACACTGATGTCCTAGCAGTTCTACAGGAGCAGTGGTTGTTCCATGTGGTAATGTATCGCTACAATAAAAGTTTTCTCACACCACGACGTCGACAGCAGTAGAGCTCGCAGCGCTTCAAGGTGCAGTCAAGCACACTCTTAAGCGGCATCCTAATCGATGGGCAATCTTTTACGACTCCAGGTCAGCCTTACACACTCTACGGCTCGCTTTGCGGCATGGATTACTCAATCAGTATGTCAGATAAGACACGACTACCACCAAGCGCTCGAGGAAGGTCATGATATTGTATTTCAATGGTTGCCGAGTCATTGCGGAATTGTCGGCAATGACCACGCAGATGAAGCTCCCGATCAGCTCATGACCAAGACTTGATTGATTTGATTGATATGTGGGGTTTAACGTCCTAAAACGACCATATGATTGAGACGCCGTAGTGGAGGGCTCCGGAAATTTCGACCACCCGGGGTTCTTTAACGTGCACCCAAATCTGAGCACACGGGCCTACAACGTTTCCGCCTCCATGGGAAATGCAGCCGCCGCAGCCGGGATCCGAACCCGCGACCTGCGGGTCAGCAGCCGAGTACCTTAGCCACTAGACCATCGCAGCGGGGTCATGAACAAGACCTGCGGTTGTCCATACCACTCTCGAGAACGGGCGTTGCATGCATAGCGACTACAATCCCTTGCTCGCCGTATAGCTCTCCTACAGTAGAATGGGGGGCGGGGGGGGAGGGGAGAAAGAGGAGTGCTAGCACCCCCTGTGAAGTTGTTTGTGCCTCGTGGCGCGTGTGCCTCGCGCAGAAGCCGCATTCGGAAGTTACAACTATCGAGTGGTAGGTGGCGTTGTTCTCGCGAGCGTTTATCACCACCGTCATCATCATGGTTAGAACGGTGGCACCGGCAGTTACGCCTGTCGGAAAGCCTTGGTGGCGGCACGGGAGAGATAGCGGGTCTCTTCTGCGTGTGGTGGTTGGCATGAGCGATTGGCTCTTGCGGCGGTCCTCGGTAGACGGCAGCGTGGGTCGTCTGCTGTGGGCCCTCGTGGTGAGTCAAGCGTTGGCAACGCCGCCTTGTGTTTGTCATGTTGAGTGAGGGGTCTCGATGTGGAGAGCGCCACGCTCTTGGAGTGAACGGACAGAGCAAACGCGGTCGAAACGAACCAAAACAATACACATTTATTTAACTACATTTAGATCGATGGTATTGTCATGCCGAATTATTATACATCAACTGTGGTCAACACGCTAACAACCTTACACAATACTAGACAATTCAAAACCATCACAAACACAAGAACACACACAAGGTGGCTTCGCCAATGCCTGACTCACCACGAGGGCCCCCGGCAGACGACCCACATCGCGGCGGTTGGCGCGAACAGTTGTCTCTCGCGTGGGCCCGCGCAGTATGACGCCGCGGGTCGTACCCATCTCTCTCTCCTCTTGGCATCCACCTCCCAGCGGAGTTAACACCCCCATGGCGCATGCGCGTCCCCTGCCGCTCTCTTACCTCTCCTACGCTCCCCCTCTCTCACCACCAACGCCGATGCAGGCAGCGTCTGTTAGTGCGTTTCTAGATTTAAACAACCCACTGTTCGCGCTGCACAACCGCTCACTGGCCACCCCATATATATAGGCACTGCATTTTGGTTGATTGATTTATTGATTAATATGTTGAGCTTAACGTCCCAAAACCACCATATGGTTATGAGAGACGCTGTAGTAGAGCGCTCCGGAAATTTTGACCACATGGGGTTCTTTGACAGGTGCATTTTGACCACCTGGGGTTCTTAGACGTGCACCAAATCTGAGCACACGGGCCTACAGCATTTCCGCCTCCATCGGAAATGCAGCCGCCGCGGCCAGGGTTCCCTCCCATGACCTTCGGGTCAGCAGCCCAGTACCTTAGCAACTATACCACCGCAGCGGGGCAGGCACTGAATCTTGATGTGCATGGTAGGGCCGATATGAGATTTCTCCTTTCCGTTGTTGAACAGTGAAAGTTCGCAGCGTGTGCATTAACTAAAATTGGACTGCGCGTCTCTAGGTCCAATCGGAGCCCTCTGTCTCCCATTGCCAATTAGCAGCGATTGGCCTGTCCCCGTAGCAAGCACCGACCCATCACTTCGGGCTTTGCACCTCCTCAGGTTTCTCTCCTGCGTAACGCCGCCGCCAGTGTAAGCGTTAGCGCCCACTGCTTCGCATCTATAATTGAATCTTTTTAGCGGGAGATTCTGTCATTTTTATATACACCATTTACCGCTGGCGGTATGACAATCACGGGGAAATGTCAGTGTGTTATCACATTTTTCAGCGAGATGACGCGAAGAGCACGCTCGGTTGCCCTGCGGTGCATGGTCGCGCGCGCGTGTTTATCTAGAGGTCGAGGAAAATAATACGTTTTATGCTTACACTGGAAGAATTCCGTGGTATTACGAGGCGCACGAAGGTCTCTTCGCTCGCTGCACTTTCTCCGTTTGAGAAAAGAACGCGCTTTTCAAACACAGCCAAGTAACAGCTGTGATAGTTAATTCTTGCTCATCGTGTGTATACCTGTGCGTATACGTTTCGTGCGCTCTTTGAGTTTGAGCAGCACGTTTAGTATTGAGCTGTGAACGTTCACAGCTCGTATCGTCTTGTGTGTGTTCTTCTTGTGCATTCTTTCGCCTTGAGCAGCATGCTGCACGTTGAGACCTGGTTGCCGCTCTTCGCATGACATTCCCATTAATCGTCATCGCATTCATCGCTTCGCTCTTGCGGCGAAACTGTGACTTTTTCAATCCCAGCCACCAGGGGCGGCGCCAGAGGGGGGCAAGGGTTGGCTGGAGCCCCCCCAATATTCTCGCCTGCCCCCCCCCCCCCCCTATGCCCACCCAAGTGCCCGGAAGCATATATTGAAAACCTAGTAGGAGCAGAGCTAGCTTGCCCCCCCGGAGGAACTCACTTTTCGTGGTTGCCCCCCCAGTAAAAACATCCTGGCGCCGCCCCTGCCAGCCACTGGGAGGTTTCGATTAAAGAATAACAATACAGATAATTAGGTGCGTGTTCGAGAATCGCAACATTTATATGTAACTCTTATTCTAATATCATTGCTGTTCTTTTTCTAGGTGGAAGCTGAACCGAGATCGTCCCGTTCTGAGGCAAGCTGCTGCTCCGGACACTACGCCGATCCCTTTCAGCATCGTCTACTACCAGAACGATGGCGTTCAAATTGCGGGATTGCGCCGAAACTGATGGGCGTGTGGTGAACGAAAACTTTCCAAGGAAGCTTCCCAGCTATATAAAATGCCCGAAGTTGCGGTGCAGAGAGTTTGGGGATTTGTTATCGAGTTCTTCGCAGCGCCTGGAAGAAGCTTCTCGTCTTGCACCAGGACCTAGAGATAAAAACCTCTGGCATATATTTACTCTAAAAAAAAATCAAGTCTTTGGGGAGTGTTTTTGCCACACAACAATAATTGTCATCTATACTTCAGGTACTTTCCTCGAGCTATCACTAAGATTCCTGTAGTACGCGGTCGCGAACGGCCCGTGCATTACAAGTGTGACATATGATTCCTGACAGGGAAGTGGCTGCAGCGCCGGATGTTCAAGAAAGAAAACGCGAGCTGATCAGATAACGATTATTGTTGTGTAGCAGAACTGCTTCCCGAATACTCTATGTTTTCCCTAGATTGATTTTGCTGTTGAACACGAAGACGGGGTTCGGCACCACCACCGTATCTCACTGGGTAGGGAATGCGAAAGCACTATTGTATTGTGCATCATTTCCACATTAAAGAGCTCCATACAATCAAAACTCAAAACGTAAAGTTCCGGAATTATTATTATTATTATTATTATTATTATTATTATTATTATTATTATTATTATTATTATTATTATTATTATTATTATTATTATTATTATTATTACTACCTCAGTTACCCTTGAACAATTCTGCACACTAGTGACATTAAAGACATTATGACCATTTCATGTGAGTAATTTAAAGGATTTCTGCTACTCTCGCTGCTGATCGATTAGCAAAACAACTTTTCTTTGCTTTTGATAAGAGCAGTCCAACATTATTGGTATAATATTTACAACCACGTAACACTGAATATGTGTGTTTCACGAAAGGCAAAGACAGTTTTGCGCAAGCTAGGTATCGCTCCAGTCAGATATGTAATGAGCAAAAAAATCCAAATAGAAAAATTAGCTATTACAAAATCGATCAGGTCACGATGTTTTTTTCTAAAGGTTAATGCAAGGGCATCCACATCACTAAGCCCATTATAAAAAAAAATTGCACGATCTGCCACTAAAGGGAACCATGAGTAGCATGCGCAGCAGCGCATGGGTTGACTTAAAGAAAACTTCGTTAATTACGGGCACCTTGCCCGTTATAAACGTGTCTTGGCAAGTGGAACACACCATGAATTCACTCTAGTTTCTGTTGCTGTTACTCGTCCCAAACTCTTGTTGGAGCACGCCACGCGGGTTCATCACCACGCCTCGCGGGGGAGCACGTGCGTTCATCACGCGTCTGCAGAACCTCGTTCCCCGATGACATCCCGTGGTGGCTCAGAGAGTGTAATGAGGAGATGCCTCACACTTGCACAGGCCCGACCGCGCTAGCCCGTGCCAGCGCGTTCTTACAGTGCTCATGCCAGCTGTTGCTCGTGCGCAGTAAGGGTGACTACGCACACCGGATTGAGCTCGACCATAAACTGCTTCGCATCTAATAAATTCACTACGCCTACATATAATTTATGTAAAATAAATATCACCATCAGCAACCTCGCTACACCCACTGCAGGGCAAATGCCTCTCCCGTGTTCCGCCAATCAAGCCGGGTCCTGTGCTTTCTGCTGCCACGTTATACCTGAAAACTTCCTAATCTCGCCTGCCAGAATAATTTTCTACGTCCCCTTAACGCGTTTGCATTCTCTAGGAATCCAATCAGTTACCGCCTCAGTGAAACGGTTATCCTGCCTACACGCTACGTGTCCGGCACATGCCCATTTATTCTTGATTTCAACTAAGACGTCCTAACCTCCGTTTTTTCTCTGACCCACTCTGCTCTTTTCCTATCTCTTGAGCTTACACCCATCATTTTCTTTTCCATCGCCCACTGCGTCGTCCTCAATTAAGGTTGAACCATGGTTGAACCCTCTTTGCAGACCTCCAGGCTTCTGCTCCGTAGGCAATTACCGGCAAAATGCAGCAGTTATATGCCTTCCTCTTGAGGGATAGTGGTAGACAACTATTCATGATTGGAGAATGCTTGACGAATGTTCTCCATCCCGTCCTTATTTTTTCATGGTTCGGGGACACTATGCTGGATTGCCCGAGCTTGGCAAAAGTCAGGACCTTTCTGAGCTCTGGCGAAACCCCCTTTTAAATGAGCCAACCGCACGAAAAAGTCAAATACGCCCCTGAGCGTGCTGCGTTTCATTGGTTACTGTGCGAAATCCGGCATCGCGTCAAGGACGATTGACAGTTAAAGTTGGGTGGTGGTTTCAAACCAGAGGCATTTTCTTTCATTTGTATATCGTTCTACGGAGAGCATAATTGCAGCCATGCAATAAAAAGTGTCAGAAACGTTTCCTGATGGTAGTTCTTTAATGGTTCGGCTGTTTAAATTCATTTTGAAGCTTTTATTGCCTAAAATAATCTGGTTTATAATAATCAGCACGGAGGCCTCTGAGATTACTTACACCCGAGCACCTTACAACATTCCGACCCCAGCTAAACCCGAAGCCACGTGTTCATCAATGATCGGCCTGTACAGCTGTCAGCACCTTTAACTCGAAAGCTTCCACGCTTGGCCTCAGCTCGCATAGACAGACATTAGCGCCGCGTTGAAAATGGTATGCTTGCTGCAGTTAACGATAGATAGAACACGCGTTGGTTTCACTAGTAAATTTCTGTTTCCAGTACGTTTCCAGCCTGCCTGACCGGTGGTCGAATGGACTCCCTTGGCATCCTGTTTTCGCCACGTTTAGCTCGTGGCTACATTATCGCGCTCGACCATGACGTTCCTTGTCGTATACTTATCTCAACAATCAACCATTACGCGTAGAGTAACATTGCGTGGAGTAACGTTGAAGATCAGGCGCATTCGTTTTTAGAGGATCGGTGCGCTTCGGTGCTAGGAATGAGCCCAAGTCAGTTTGCATGTACTACGTTGTCAATGTTTATTATTTTATTGCACCGAACAGAAGTCTCCCACCGGCACTCAATGTTGGCAGTAACGCCTTACAAGTAACGCCGTTACCGGTGACGTGTTACTTTTTTCAGTAACGTACTCGTTAGAATTTCGGAATTGTAACGGGTAGCATACTTACTTTGCCAATTTTCGGTAACGTCTCGTGTCACGTTACTCTTTACTTTTTAGGAGCGAAGCTCCCTAGGGCGTGGGTCGCGCGTCTTCTGTATGTAGTAGCCACCTCTTGTTTTTGTCCTTGGAATGCCTGCTGGATGGCGGTACTTGTATATGATGAATACAAGATGTTGTGTCACTTTTCAGTTTTTTAGTCATAATATTTATTTTAGCTAGAAAGCACAGGCTATACCCGAAACATATTTGTGCTCAAGTGTTTTTGCCGTAAATTTGTAATAATAAATATTTATCGCTAATCAAGTATCGTTTTCGCTAGAGCAACTACAAGGGCTTTACGCCAGCTCATTTGTAGAAGTGCATCTGTTCTTGAGAAAGAAAACGTAGGAAGTCGGTTATTTTTGATAAATAGCCTGTAATTGTCACGGTCTGATCAAGTGTGAGGCCCGCGGGACGGCTTTATGCACTCCCATACTAGAGTACCTCGTGCTCTAAATTAACAACTTTTCCTAAACTCCAACTACTGCAAATCGATACACTTTTAGGGGCGAAGCCCCTTCAGCCATAGGTCGTGCGTCCCCGATGTATGTATGTAGTAGTAGTAGTAGTAGTAGTAGTAGTAGTAGTAGTAGTAGTAGTAGTAGTAGTAGTTATAGTCACCTCACCTTAGTCGTTGGTATGTCTGCTGGATGGTGGCACTTGTATGTGATGAAAAGATGCGAGATGGAGGTACTTATAGTGTTCACTAGATGGACGGATGGATGGACATATGTATAGACTGCGATACAGACAGACAGACAGACAGACAGACAGACAGACAGACAGACAGACAGACAGACAGACAGACAGACAGACAGACAGACAGGTGGACGGACGGACGGAAGGACAGACGGACGGACGGACGGAGCCAACATCACCTAGACTTTGAAAAAAAGCCTAGGTGTTGACGGAGGCAGTGGTTGATTTACGGTTTGCCGATGAAGCCCTTTGAAGCTCTGCCCCACTCATCATCATCACTCCGTGGATTTGTGCTGAGATTTTTTTTTATCTTGCATGTGCCATTTTTCCAGAGCTCACCCCAACGAACTTTTTTGACACAGCGTCGGACAGCTGGTGGCTTGCCAGGCATAGACGAAAAATGCGTGGGCAAAATCGATTTTTTTTTTGTGGGTGTGGGAAAAATAGCGGCTAGAAATTTCCTAAGACATGCCGACTCCCTGTGGGATAGGTTGGGCCATCGCCGCACAAAGCTTCAAGAAAGCCGCGGAATCGGCCAAGAGAAACTATTACTGTGGTCCCTAGAATCTGCTACAATGTAGCTGTACGGACATGATTTTCGTGTATTGTAGCAGGTGGACTGCTGGCATCTAGCCTTTCTGTGCTGCAGAAGACAGGCTGCCTGAAGGGAAAGCGCATACGCCGGTTTACTCCATTACCATGTGTTCACTGTACGTGATGCTTCGTTCA